GGGGGCAGCTCTTACCCACTCAGCTTGATGGCTCAATGATAGCGCGCTTACACGATCGCGTGAGGTCCGTGTCAATCCCACCGGGGTTTGACTTCCCCCATAACTCAGCGTTATTACTATAGCATTCGGAGCGCGAACCGCGGGTTAAAGAGCAAGAAAAAATTCAAGTTGCCAGTTTTACTGTGGAATTTTTTTGTGAAAAATCACATCGGTATGGTTGGTTACTACTCATTTACACATCTTCGTGTAGTAATCCAGTGTACTGCTGAAAAATTGGCCTCTAAAAAGTGCCGCCAGCCCCCCTCTCCCCACCCCTCTCGATTCTTACCTAGTGAGCGCGCATGCAACAGCTGGCGCAGGAGTTGATTACAGTTATACCCAAAATATTCAGATGGAACTGTCAGAAGAACTGGACCCATTTCATCGGTGTGTGGAACAATGGAAGTGTCCCGATCCAAACGAAAGTCATCTAAGGGATCTTCTGAAGCAGGTACTATTCGAAACGTATCAACTATAAGTTCATTCGAATATGTGAGAAATCATTCGAATATGTTCTCCTCGTTCCCTTCTTGCAAGGTTTCAGAAGGTTGCGTCGGAAATGGTCGAATTCCACTTGCTCGTTTCAGCCCACGTTTTTATTTGTTTTCATTCAGGTATCACGCCAGCAGCGTAATTTGGTTGCCGAGGTGCCATGGTTGGATCCATTCACTTTCAGAAAGGTGGAAGAGCTGCGTAATAATGTCAGTTTTGAGTGGAACTCCACTGACTCCTGCTCATAGTCAATTTATTCTTTGGGAACTTTTCTATTTTCAGCGTAAATTTGCTTCAACTCAACGCTACCTGTTTCTCGTATTCAAAATGGCTTCTATCCAGTACGATCGACAACACTATGATGTGGTCTATTATGAGGATCCGACGCCAGATGTGAGACCTTCTCCTTTCTTCCAAGAATTCCTTGTTCAAGGGCTTTATACTCACTTCGAGCAGCAGGAAAGATGATGTCTGCCGCGCTTGCGGTCGCGTTGCTGTAGTGC